CAGTATGTAACACAGGAGATGATGAAAATTGTCAATCGTTAGTGTATGTTGGGTAAGGAGAGCGAAATAGCCTCTCTTTTATAGGAATTACTTTTTGTATTAAATGTGTTATTTAATTTCTATATGTATGATATATGATAAATAATATATCCTTTATACAAGTGAATATACAGTATGTAACACAGGAGATGATGAAAATTGTCAATCGTTAGTGTATGTTGGGTAAGGAGAGCGAAATAGCCTCTCTTTTATAGGAATTACTTTTTGTATTAAATGTGTTATTTAATTTCTATATGTATGATATATGATAAATATATCTACAAAAATAATGATTCTCTGAAAATATGTAACATCATTTGCAGGCTTTGCACTTCAGATCTAAGTCTTAAACATTTTCTTCATAGGTGTGGACAGTGCTAAAACTGTTGCTATGGAAAATCGAATCGCTTCCTTAGAGAAAAAATTGTCCTGGCTACAAAATGGTAATGTTGAGCATTGAGACAGATTTGAAAAGCACATCCTCATGTTGATGTAAACCAGTCCTTAGATATACTAAATTGATTGAATGAAATGTATAAAGCTAGAGATGGGCTCAAGCAAGTGGAAATTGGAATTGTAGAGCATCCTGTGTTTCAGGGTGCTCATAAAAACTGATAAAGGCACATGTTGGTACATCTAAGTTTCTGCAATGTTTTCATACTTTCAATTTACTATAATTAGCTAAGGAACAGGATTACCTTACACACATTCAGATTTCTCATGTACTGCTGCTTAAACTTTATATCTCTATGGGATTGATTTACTAAAGGTGTAGAGAGGCTTTTCACTTAAATGTTCATTTAGCTTAGTAAATAAGTTGAGGCTGTGTTCACTTTAAATACCAAATTGTGTGGAAGGGAAATTAAAGCTAAAGTCCGGGAAAATGTAAAAGACACAAATTAAAGTAGTAATAAAGCCTGTTCATTTTTTACCTTAATGCATTCTCGGCATTAGGGTAAAAAAACACCCAGTACCTTTTTCTTTCCCTTGTCCCCCCCCCCCCCCCCCCACACGCATGGGTGCCTCCATAGCAGCAACCTAGCTGATGGAGGCACCCATGCAGGGGGAGGGAGGGAGAGCAATGTGAGGACCCACTAGAGAATGAGGAATTGATTTTCAAACCAAACTAATGCAGGATTTCTATAATTGTGGGCATCCAATTCATAAAAATAAAAATAAACCCTGAAGGTTTAATATCAACTCTGTTTTCGTTATTATATCATTATTTTTTTTAAATGCAAGCAGTGCAAGTACCTGAATTTGGCTCAATATTAGTCCCTTGCTGTCACGGTACAGTAGAGCTCAGAATGGGGAAAGGAGAAGCAGAACAATGACGAAGCACAACAATCAGTTGTGCTGCAGTGCTCAGGGAAGAGTTCAGCAGTTACTTTTCCTTTCAATGTTTACTCACATGCTGTTGGAAAGACAAGACCTGTAAGCATTACCGAACTACAGTCGAGCATAATCTGGTCTCTTGCCCTGCCAGATAGGGCTGTGCTTCATGGCAGAGTTGTGTAAACTTCAAAACTGGATAGCTAGTAATGCAAATCCTTTGACAGGTAAAACAGCTCACATACTGTATGCATTTAATTTGTGAATTTAGCTGGTTTCCTGGAGTTTAGCTTAAAAAAAAAAAACTGTTTTGATTTCAAATGACTGGATAAATCAAGTGAATGCAACTTCACCTTATTCACTAAGCTCAGTGAACAGCCTTCATCATTTAGTAAATCAACTCCATGGTGATGACATTTCTTTTGAAGTGCAGTTAAATATACCGTATACAAGTCCTGGAAGTGGGTTGCACTGGGAAATAGCTACTGGAGGGTGTATATGGTCAAAGAATCATACATTCCTTTGTCTATGGCTGTACTACATCTGATGATTCCTACAGTGACAAGATGTACCTAAAGGAAAATATAGATTTCCTATAATTATCATTCATTAATGCAGTTTGGTTTTTACATCTTTCAGTTCTGCTCTACCATTTCGGTAAAGAAGCTGGTAATAAAGTGTTTGTGACAAATGGCAAGAAAGAAAACTTTGACAAAGCCCAGAAGACCTGTAGAGAAGCTGGAGGAAATGTGGCCATGCCAAGAAATGCAGCAGAAAATAGTGCTGTAGAAAAGGTAGTCAACATAAGGGAAGGGTCAAACATGGCTTTCTTAGGTATATCAGATTCACAATTAGAAGGGACATTCAAGTACTCAACAGGGGAAACGGTTAATTTTACCAACTGGAGATCAGGAGAGCCAAATAACAGCGGGGACGCTGAAGACTGTGTGGAGATTCTTGGCAGTGGTCAATGGAATGACGTTCCGTGCAGTAATCAGTATCTAGTTATCTGTGAATTTCAGTCAACTTGATTAAATCTGTGGTGAGCTATTTGCCATATATCCATTATAGAACTATTATTGTATGTGTTTATCTTCTAAAGAAACATTTTAAAATAAAGAAAAGATAAAAAACACTCCTGTTTGGAGTCTGCACACACAGATTGTTAAAAATCAAAGTGTTTACAACGTCATGTATACAGTGCATATGTCTGCAAAGGGACACTACAGCAACTAACCTGACAGTTATCCAATTTTTTCATCTTGGTTTGCTAAAAGTTTAAGGTTCATTACTTATATTTCTTTAAACTGCAGGACAATTACATTATCTCATTACAGAAAATGATTGAGGAACAAAAGAGGTGCTCTACTCAAATGTTAATTAATCATCTTAGGAACAGAGTGGGTTTTTTTTTCCATTTTTCACACATGTTAAAATCAGAATTTATGAACAGAAAATTACTTTAACCACTTGAAGTCCGCGGTGGTATTCCTCCTTCCTGTCCAGGCCATTTATCAGTATTCAGCGCTGCAGTACTTTGACTGACATTTATTCTGTCATGCAACGCCGTATTGAAATGAAATGTATACAATTTTTTGGGGACACAGAGAGCTTTCTTTTGGTGGTATTTAATCACCACTTAGCTTTTTATTTTTTACTATATTAATGAAAAATTACCGAAAATGTATAAAAAAACTGTTTCCCCTATATTAAATTATAAAACATTTATTATTACCAATTTTTTGGTAAAATATAAAAGGCGGGTGAAAAAGACACCAAACATGTCAAGCCTTAAAATTGCACGCGCGCACGAAACCTCAAAAAACGACAATATCCCAAATTGGCCATAGGTGACGCTTTAAAAGCTTTTAACGCTCATCAGTTTAGTGTTATCAGTGATTGATGGCCCTAAAATTATTGCTCTCATTCCGACGTTCACGGCGATATGTAACATGTGTCGCGCAATTGCCATTTTCGCGCGCTAGCGCATCTGACGCGTATTTACGTTTATATGTGCGTAAACGTGGGGGTGGGGACTTAAAAATGTTGTTGTTTTTTTTTTACTTTTTTTATATGTGACTTTTATTTTTATTTTTTACACTTAATGTTATTGCTATCACAGAGGGGGATAACAATCTCCCTATATAATAGCAAAGGCACACTGACAGGTCCTCTTTATGGAGACATTATGGGTCTCTAAGACCCATAATGTCACCTGGGGACCCCCAAAGAAGCTGATGAAGCAGAGATCTGTTTCATAAGTTTCTTCTCTCTGGCTATAGCAGCCAGATGACTGACAGGTGAATGCGGAAGTGATGTATTACACATCACTTCCGCATTCACAGTACAGAGGGAGTTCAGCAAGGAGTTGCTCCCGGGCCTCAGATGGGGTAGCAGATCCTGGGATTGAAGGTAAGGGTGCAGGAGGGGGGGCGGCGGCGGCGGCACTGCAGGAGGGGGAGGGGGGGAGTGGTCAATGGAATGACGTTCCGTGCAGTAATCAGTATCTAGTTATCTGTGAATTTCAGTCAACTTGATTAAATCTGTGGTGAGCTATTTGCCATATATCCATTATAGAACTATTATTGTATGTGTTTATCTTCTAAAGAAACATTTTAAAATAAAGAAAAGATAAAAAACACTCCTGTTTGGAGTCTGCACACACAGATTGTTAAAAATCAAAGTGTTTACAACGTCATGTATACAGTGCATATGTCTGCAAAGGGACACTACAGCAACTAACCTGACAGTTATCCAATTTTTTCATCTTGGTTTGCTAAAAGTTTAAGGTTCATTACTTATATTTCTTTAAACTGCAGGACAATTACATTATCTCATTACAGAAAATGATTGAGGAACAAAAGAGGTGCTCTACTCAAATGTTAATTAATCATCTTAGGAACAGAGTGGGTTTTTTTTTCCATTTTTCACACATGTTAAAATCAGAATTTATGAACAGAAAATTACTTTAACCACTTGAAGTCCGCGGTGGTATTCCTCCTTCCTGTCCAGGCCATTTATCAGTATTCAGCGCTGCAGTACTTTGACTGACATTTATTCTGTCATGCAACGCCGTATTGAAATGAAATGTATACAATTTTTTGGGGACACAGAGAGCTTTCTTTTGGTGGTATTTAATCACCACTTAGCTTTTTATTTTTTACTATATTAATGAAAAATTACCGAAAATGTATAAAAAAACTGTTTCCCCTATATTAAATTATAAAACATTTATTATTACCAATTTTTTGGTAAAATATAAAAGGCGGGTGAAAAAGACACCAAACATGTCAAGCCTTAAAATTGCACGCGCGCACGAAACCTCAAAAAACGACAATATCCCAAATTGGCCATAGGTGACGCTTTAAAAGCTTTTAACGCTCATCAGTTTAGTGTTATCAGTGATTGATGGCCCTAAAATTATTGCTCTCATTCCGACGTTCACGGCGATATGTAACATGTGTCGCGCAATTGCCATTTTCGCGCGCTAGCGCATCTGACGCGTATTTACGTTTATATGTGCGTAAACGTGGGGGTGGGGACTTAAAAATGTTGTTGTTTTTTTTTTACTTTTTTTATATGTGACTTTTATTTTTATTTTTTACACTTAATGTTATTGCTATCACAGAGGGGGATAACAATCTCCCTATATAATAGCAAAGGCACACTGACAGGTCCTCTTTATGGAGACATTATGGGTCTCTAAGACCCATAATGTCACCTGGGGACCCCCAAAGAAGCTGATGAAGCAGAGATCTGTTTCATAAGTTTCTTCTCTCTGGCTATAGCAGCCAGATGACTGACAGGTGAATGCGGAAGTGATGTATTACACATCACTTCCGCATTCACAGTACAGAGGGAGTTCAGCAAGGAGTTGCTCCCGGGCCTCAGATGGGGTAGCAGATCCTGGGATTGAAGGTAAGGGTGCAGGAGGGGGGGCGGCGGCGGCGGCACTGCAGGAGGGGGAGGGGGGGGGAGCAGCCACAACATTCAAGTGATCGGCGTCTATAGAGCCGCCAAATGTTTGTATGTCAAACAGCCGATAACAACTGTGCACAACGGACGATGGGATTGAAGGTAAGGGTGCAGGAGGGGGGGCGGCGGCGGCGGCACTGCAGGAGAGGGAGGGGGGGTGAGCAGCCACAACATTCAAGTGATCGGCGTCTATAGAGCCGCCAAATGTTTGTATGTCAAACAGCCGATAACAACTGTGCACAACGGACGGGTTTTTTCTGCCCATCTTCACGCGAGCAGAATAAAAAACCCGCCCATGTGAGTTTGCCGTCCGTCTGTTTTTCCACAACGGGCGGACGGCAAGCGGTTAAACGGAGGAATATTCTGCAGAAGCATGAGCATTGTACCCATGATCCACTGATGGTGGATGTTGCCTTTAGATTTTGTTCATGCCTGAAAATCAAACAAACATTCTGAAAACAGTTTTTTTCTAACAAATTTCTACTGGTGTATCTCCAGCCTATCTGTGCTTAAAAGATAACTTGGGTGCAACTGGCCTTCAAAACCAGAAAATAAACATTTGTAAGATTTTTAAGTGACTTTTTGAAATGACTGTTTACAGAAAGTTATATACTCCTGTGCTATATTCTACCCTTTTTTTTTTAAATGTGAAGTAACACATTAATGTAGGCTTATTCTGATAATGGGGCTGATTTACAAAAGGATTAGAGACTGTTGTCTTTGCAAAGTGAATGTTCACTAAATAAGATGAATCGGTGTTTACTTCAATCAACCAATCATGTAGCACAAAATGCATTTTTATTTTATTTTGCACTGTTTACAGTCATGTGACCTCAATCTCTGCTAGGCCAGGGCAGAGGGTGATGAAAGCACAAACCTTATGTCACTTGATGTGCTGACCTGAACTTGGGAATAAAAACTGCACAGCATTAGGAGGGAAATCTGCGGTAGATAACAGAAGGCTAAAAACAAAAATGTGCATTTAGGTTGGAGGGTACATGGACTGCAAAATATTGATTTTATTTTTTATGTTAACCATAAACTTATGTTTTAGATGAATCTGTGTGCCAAGGTAAAATGGGAGTTTGGAGAGGACACAGTACAGGTCTGCATTTCCATCAAGATTGAAAGGGATTTTTTGCAGTAATCGAATAGATGTAACAAAATGCTCCCAATTTTATGTTAAAGCTGAGCTTCAGGGAAAATAAAAGAAACCATTGATTGGCTGCTTCACTTAACTGCAAGGGCTTAATGCTCGTTTATGGCAAGGGTACCTGTAAAAATTACTTTACTTACCTGATCCCCACTCCTCCTGGCTCCCTGCAGGCTACATGACCAGCAACCTTACACAGCAACCTTACACCACCTCCACTTTGGCAGTCAGAAGCCCACTGACATCATCAAGTATAATGCAGGGTCCATAGTTCATGTGAGGCTGTCAAGGGACAGTCCAAAGACCAGAGTGTAGGGAAGATAAGGTGAGCAGCAACTGTCAGAGTAGCAGGGATCAGGTAAGTAAAACTGTTTCCGGTTGCGGGGGGCGCAAATCCAGTGCTACAGATGTGCCTATGCTGGCCGGTCCCTTACATTCCCCTCTTGATGGTGTTACCGCTGAAGACTCCTCTGCTGGATCCTGAGAGGACTTTGTAGTTGGACAGCCGATAGAAAGTGACATTAGCACCTGAAGAAGGACCTTATCTCATGTAAGACGAAGAAGAGGGAAGACTTGGGACAGGATTGTCACATGACTGTGGCTTTAAGTAAAAGGTTTTTTTTTATTATGACAACAATCAGAAAAGAGGGAGTTGGGAGGGGGTTATTATTTGCCACGAGATGGGCTTTTAGATGACCAAAGAGAGCAAATAAAATAAATTAATTCTTAGGGCGTACATACACTTTAAGGTAGAGGCTAGAACACCCACTAACTTCCTTTAAATCTCAGGGAATACACAAATGAGATTTTCTCACCAGAGTTGCTATTATACTAGTGCCATCAATGAATCCTTCTTCTACTTAAAGCCCAAGAAGTCTCACTTCTTCTGGAGGATTAGCTTAAAAAGCAGCAGTGGCCAGAATTATGGTTATGGCAGGTAAATGGGTTTAGTAACTCCAAAACAAAATCTCACTCCTATTGAGTATTGGGGAGATGAAAGAAGATGTAGGCTTTGTGTGGACTTGACATTCAACTATTACGGTAGGTTATTATTTTTCATCAACCTTCAGATCATGAAACTTCTGAATTCCAGTGCCCAGGTTATCATTTTTTGGGATAAAAAGAATAGTTTCAACAAGATCTCTTGTTTGAAGCCAAAGTACACAGAAACTAATTGAAATGAAAGCAAATATGACCACGGTACAGAGTGTGCTTTCCTAAAGTGACAACAAATACTCTGACAAATAAAGAGCACTAAACTTTCCTTCCATAGTACACTTAGCACAAGAATATAGGATGCTTGAGAAATCTAATGTATCTTACATGTATCTTACAATATTACAATACTGTGTACAAATTTGTGTTCTGCGATTGATGTATTATAATACCTCTTATGACCAGAGATGGAACACAGCCTGCCAGAAATCACTTTCAACATGTCAAAACATTTACTTCACAGTTATAGCAGTCTCTATTTTAATAAAGTTGTCTCAGCGGTAATGTTTTGCATTACATCACAAGAGTAAGAATAATTTATACTGAATGAGCATTTGAAGGAGAACTATGAGGTGAGTGCTTTTCACTCACCTCATAGTTATAGCCGACCTGGTCGGCTCAGTAGATCAAGAAGTGAGCGAACACATACCGGCGTCCGCTCACTTCTCGATCCTGTCACGGCACTCTGCCGTGACAGGGGAGGGGCTGGATTCCCCCCTCCCCGCTACAATCCGCCAGCGCTGACTGGCGAAATGGAAAGGGGAGGGGGCGGGTACAGCTGGCTCTGACAAATTGACAACCAATTTAAACCGCAGTGCAAAAGTTCCCTTTTGAGTGGCAATCGCACAAAATAAAATGCTTTTACAATATTACGCTCACTGGTCTCAAGGTTTATCTGGAGGAACAGGAGAGCAAGGGTCTCGTATAAAGTCCTGTGCAGACCTAAATCTTTGGGTGGAGCCTCCCTCCCGGATTTTAGAAGGTATTATAGAGAAGCCTCTTTGGCCAAACTCATTGATTGGCATTATGCTAGAGAGACCAAATTATGGGTACAAATGGAACAGGCCCTGAGTCAAACAGCTCTACATAGGGTCTGCTGGATTCCGAAACGATATAGACAGCTGTCCAGGGATGCCCATCCCTTAACGACCACTACACTTTCTATCTGGGAAGCTGTGCACTCCAGTCAACATTGACCCTACAATTCTCCTCTAATGCCTTTACTGGGCCACACATTTTTCACCAGGGCTATTGGACGGTAGAGATCTGCTTCACCAGCTTGTTCTCTGGCGATAGCAGCCAGAGAAATGACAGCTAAAGGAGGAAGTGATTAATACACATCACTTCCACCTTTAGAGATCGGAGGAGAGCTCAGCAAGTAAAGAGAATGCTGATCTCTCCTCTGTGTACAGTTGAGCAGTCACTGTGCCGGTCCTGGGCCACAGGCACCAGAGGGGGCACACTGTGCGCTGTCATACAAGCAATCGGCCAGCTTTAGTGCCAGCTGAATGCTTGTATGTAACAGGTGGTAACAGCTGTTTACATTCCCGGTGGGATTCTGCTCGGGAGCACACGCGAGCAAAAAAGATAAATCACGTATATGTACGTCCACCCGCCGGGCAGCATCTGCCTTCTACCCGTGTTTTGACAATGGGCAGACGGCAAGCGGTTAAAGATAGCCAAAGGAATGCATAAACACTACCTTTATAAGATGTAAAGTTACCAATGTGGCAAATGTCCTTAATGATTTACCAATTAAATGGTAGGTCATCAAATCCTTGGGAAACTCACAATAGGGGGAAATGCAGTTTAATAGATGGTAATTAGTATATTTTTCCTAACATGTCCCACAAAGCCAAAGAATGTAACAGTAGGGCAGGGAATAGGCAACCTTTACCACTTCAGATAACAGTGCCGAATCCGATAGTTGGCATTTTCACAAGAACTACCAGGGTTGTAGTGGTTGCAGCTGTGACTGGGCCCTGATGCTCCACCACTGTGCTGAAATCAGTATCTACACCCCTACTGGGCATTCATCCTTTTGAAAGTAGTTAGAAACTGGAAAATTCTGGCAGCATTGTAATACTTCAGAAAAATAAGGACAGCAGTATCACCTTTTTTTTCTCCTAGTGTAAATTATTGGATTGTAATCTACTTCATTTACCCCGCCATTTGAATTTTATAAATTTTTCTTGGAAATACTTTTTTTGTAGTGTGCATAATAGGTAAAATACATCCATGTGAAAATGTAAGTACACCACATAGAAATTGTTGACTTTTTCCACGCCTGTACAAGCAAACAGATAAAGCTGATATAAAAACATAGGGAAATGTGCCTTTTAAAGCTGAACTCTGTGATAAGCAAGTATTGTCTAAATCCTTGGTTCTCAACTGATAGGTCGTGACACAAAAATTGGGTCACAACCCCGTGTTCAGTGGGTCACCACATGCCTTCCACTTTTCTAGGTGAGTGGCTCCTCAGCCTCCCCCTAGCGGTGCTGAGTGTCAGCTTGAGGTGGGGTGAGATGAGAGAGAGCTCCATCCATATGTGCATTGCTTACAGCTCCCTCGCATGTACTGTAGAGGTGCCCAGACTGGAATTACATCACATTCTGGCTCCCCGCACCTCTACAGGGCATGCAAGGGAGCTGTATCAGCAATGCATTGCACATATGGATTGTCACTGCACAGCAGCCCACACTGGACCCCAGGCTAAGGATCCGCTCCAGTTCCTGTAAGGTAGGAAGACTGGATGGATCTTTAAAAAAGTAAACAAATTACATTTTTTTTATGCATGTGTGTGAGAATGTCTGTGATTGTCAGATTGTGTCTGTGGTTGTGTGTGTGTGTGTGTCTGTCAGTGTTTTTGAAGGCCCGTTCAGACTAGTACAGTCCATTAATCGCACAGTCCCGTGCGCTTTAACGCACTAAAATCAGGCAAAATCAAACCTAC